ATGAGAGAACAACTGATGGGCTGCTTCGTCATCCAGCTGATTCAAAGCAATGGAAAAATATTGATCAAGAATTCCCCCAATTTGGTGAAGAATGTAGAAATCTTAGGTTTGGCTTAGCTACTGATCGAATGAACCCATTTGGTAATTTAAGTACCAATTACAATTGTTGGCCCGTTATACTGATAATTTACAACTTATCTCCTGGATTGTGCATGAAAAGAAAGTACATTATGTTGTCAATGTTGATATCTGGTCCAAAGCAGCCTGGAAATGACATCGATATTTATCTCTTGCCACTAGTTGAAGACTTGAAGTTGTTGTGGGTCGATGGGGTTGAAATATTTGATGCCTTTGCTTCAGAAACTTTGATGAGGCATTTAAGTCCTTTGTCGCCTGACCTAGACATTTGGTTGGTGATGTATCTGATCCCCCGGTAAACACTCGTACTATATACTTCTCAATTTTAATATTTACTTTTAATTGACGTTATAACATAACCATTTTTGCATGTAACAGCAGATAGGTCAAGAGGTAAGTCCTAGATCGAAGAAGACTCATTTATCTGAGGACGACCCTCTTGGTGTGTTAGACGAGCTTGTTAAAATCATTTCAGATGCGCCGATGAATGTACACTGGGATTCTACTACATTTGGAAGAGAAGCTCAGATCCTATTGTACTTGCATCATTAAGATGTTAGGGAGCTTGCTTCGGGGAGAGAATAAATTAATATTACACTCATTCAGCTGTGGATGATGTAAGTTTATGCAAACTTTTTTATATAATTATTTTTTATCAAGTTACTTATATCAGATTATTTCTTCATTTTAGGTATATGTTTGATGTTAGTAACAAGAAGGGGTTCAACAATGTACATGGATTCATTGACCCCTCTATGACTCATGAAAGAAATAAATTTGATGATATCCAAACATACATCACCACCTGCTTTGGAATGGGAAAGGAGATATATTTTCTCCCTTATATACATGGGTAAGTGAAATTTGTTAACTTTAAAGTTTCATTTATTAATTTTGGTATATGACAATGAAGTTATTACCAATTTCAAGTGTCAATGGCAGCTACTTGTGATCTCCATACCGGAGAACACTGCTGTTTGGTTTTGTTCATTGCACAAGTCTCCTCTCAGCACTCTTAGACATGTAGTAGATTGGTAAGACTCAATGTTTCAACTTTCTTTGTTGTATAAATGTATGCTAAAGCAATTTTTTTTAATAGTTCTCTTGCAACACATATGATGTTATCTGGGAGATCTACTACTACAACTAAAAAGCTTGCATGGGTTGCCCTTAAGGTTTGGTATTTTAGTTCATACTTTGTTACATTTGGTTCCATTCAAATGATGTTACTTAACATTTTATAATTATGATGATATATTGTAGTGTAATAGACAAATGAGGTCATATGAATGTGGTTACTACGTCATGTTTTGGATGATGACCATTATTCGTGCACATTACACCAGTGGATGGAAAACGGTAATATTTAGGTTTGAATTTTATTTTCTCTATAGTTTAGATTTCATATACACTAATTGAAATCATTGTGTTTTATGCATAGATTCAATAGGACTGCTCCAATTCCAGAGAAGTTACTTCAACTCATGAGAAAAACACTTGCTAAATATGTAATTCAATTATATAATAGTATGTAGTAGATATTAGGATATAAGTTCTAAGTTTATGTTTCTAAGTTGTTTTATGCTTTTCTACATTATTATTAGTTTAACTTTGTACATTGCATTGATTTATGCTTCAAACTTGATTTATGATTACATTGAATTGATTTAAGCTTCTAAGAAGTTGATTTATGATTCCATTGAATATATTTATGTTTTAATATAATTTTCATTCAAAATATATGTTTCTGGATTATTCTGGACTGTTCTGGCTATAAAAATATATGCAGGTTTGTTTCTGTAGTTGGAAATGTTGCAAAAACGGACCTCATTTAAAAAAAAACAGGGGTATATGCCTCGGTTGAGGTCATACCCGAGGTATAAAGGCCCGTTATGGCCTCTGTTATAGTCACACCCGAAGCAGAAAGACTTGCGAATGAAGAAAAAAAAGGATTCTACTGCCTCAGTTCAAGCTACAACCGAGGCAGTAGAGTGAGACATATTGTCTCGGTTCAAGCTACAACCGAGACATAAAGTCCTACGAAAAAAATTTAAAAAAATCAAAAATTCTACTGCTTCGGTTAAGGTTGAACCGAGGTTAAATCCTCTCCTTTTATGTCTCGGTTCCCACCCGAGACAAAAAGTATCGCCTGCATATGCCTCAATTCGAGAACCGCTGCGTATAAGCAAAAATAATCGTTGTCGTTTCCCCTTATTGTACTAGTAAATTCTGACAATTTTAATAAAACTCCGGCCAATCCTGACGGTTTTTGAAAAATCCCTGCTAATTCCGACGGTTTTTCCAAAATCTCTATCAATTTCGGTGGTTTTCGCAATCCGCTTGACAATTCAGGTGATTTTTCTAAAACCGTGATAATCATTTAACCACGTAGTTTTCTTTCAGGAATTTTTATAACTCCAGAAATTGTATTTTCCAGAGTTAAAACCTCGCTGACGTTAAAATAACATTGCATATTTTTATAGTGATATATGTATCTATTATTTCTTTTAGTTTTTATTCTATTATTTCTCTTAGGGAACTAGGATAAGAGGAGGGGTAAAAAATATTAAAGCAAGTGAAAAATATAATAAAAAATTTGATATGAAAAAAGAGTTATAAAAAAGTTACCTAACAGATAGATACAAGAAAAATCAAATATATTAATACACAAATTAAAATCAACAAAACTTAAATAGGTTATTATAGTTTAGTCAAGTCTATATTTTATTTTTCGAATTCTTTTTTATAATATATATTCGAAAAACAATTTTATTTAAGTAAATTATTATGAGACGAGTTTATTTTTAAAAGGAAATCCTTATTTATTTCTCTTTGTTTTATTAAACTTTAACTCATAGAAAGAGAAGAAGAACAAAAAGTTATTATTCTCTTAGAAGAAACATTGGATACACTTTATTAGGCATCAAAATTAAAACCAGAGATACAGGTAAACAGACGGTTATGATTTTGAGAGGAAAATGTTACTGGAACACCGTTTGAATCACTCATTTGACAATCCTCCACGAAACAAAGTGCCAAATAATTCCATCACTGGTCTCTTCAGAACAATCCCAATTTCAACACCGCCTTTCGCATCTCTGTTCTCTGCCAATCCAATTGTTAGGGCTCTATCCACCGATGCTATCTCCACCTTTGAAGGCTTTCCCCAACCAAAATCATTCTCATAAACCCCAAAACGGTTAGACCCCGCAATTCCTAACATTTCAACTCTCTCTTTTACCAAAGCTGCATATATACGACCAAGATCATCTGCTTCATGAAAAACACCCTTATCTAATATCTCTTTTATTTTACTATGAATACTTTTCGCAATAATAACAAACCCTTCTTTCTCTATAAATGCCGATGGCTTATCAACCACCATCTTCCCCCATACACAGTTCCCAAAGTAGTTTTCAGGAATTGGAGGCTCCATCCTGGCCCTGCAATCCACATTGAACCCACAAGCAAACTTATTTTTCTCCTTTTCAATTCCGTGCCAGGCTTTGGCAATGCAAACAAAAGCATAAGCGCAAGTTGAAACAAAAGTCGACAGTTTGGTTGGTTTTGAAGAAACCGTTGAGTTTGAGTTTGATTCTGCTTCCACTATGTCTACACTGTCTGTTAGGTTCCAGACTTGGGAACCTAATATCAATTCTCACTTTCACTCCAAGAAACA